TTCTATTGTGCCATCTACAATCTTATCTCGTATAAAGTGACAATCCATCTCAATGTGACGAGTTCGTTCATGAAAAACAGGATTGGCAGCTATATGTAACGCTGCTTGATTATCACAAAATAAAATGGAAGGACCATCCAAAGGAATGTTCAAATCCTTCAACAAAAAACGAAGCCAAACTATCTCGCAACAAGCACCTACCATGGCCCTATATTCCGCCTCTGCTGAAGAGAGCGAAACGGTTTTCTGTCGTTTCGTCTGCCAAGAAATCAAAGAACCGCCCAAGAATACATAATACCCAGTAGTCGAACGGCGAGTGATAGGGCAACCTGCCCAATCAAAATCACAAAACGCAGTTAACTTGGTCTGGTTGTCAGAACGAAATAATAAACCTTGACCTGGAGTAGCCTTCAAATAACAAACAATACGAAGCGCAGCATCCATATGAGATATCCTTGGCTCGTGCATAAAACGGCTTAGAACATGCACAGAATAGGTGATATCCGGCTGAGTGATAGTGAGATATATTAACCGACCTACTAATCGTCGATACTTTTCAGGATCCTTGAGAAGTTCTCCTTTATCAGATAATTTTGTGTCATCCATAGGAAAAGCAATGGGTCGTGCTCCCAAAAAACCATAGTCCTTGAGAATCTCTAATGCATACTTGCGTTGAGAAATATAAATCCCTTGTTTGGAACGAGAAACCTCAATACCCAAAAAATATTTTAAATCACCAAGGTCTTTTATCCGAAAATGATCACGGAGAAAAGACTTCAGAGAATTAATGGCACTAGCATCATTGCCTGTAATCACAATATCATCCACATAAATGAGCAAAGCTGTGAATGAAATACCAGACTTTTTAGTGAACAATGAATAGTCAGCTTTGGATTGTTGAAAACCGGCAGAAATGATGGCACTAGTGAATTTGGCAAACCATTGGCGAGAAGCCTGCTTAAGACCATAAAGTGACTTGTGAAGGCGACACACAAGATTCTCCCCTTGTCGCCAAAGAACAGGAGGAGGAGACATATAGATTTCTTCATGTAAGTCACCATGTAAAAAAGCATTATTAACATCAAGCTGATGAAGAGACCAAGACTGACTAGCAGCAAGAGCAAGAAGACAACGCACCGTAATCATCTTAGCAGTAGGAGAAAAAGTGTTATGATAATCAATACCTTCAGCCTGAGTGAAGCCTTTAGCAACCAAACGAGCTTTGTAGCGGTCAATAGAGCCGTCGGAATTGTGCTTGAGTTTGTACACCCACTTACAACCAATGGGAATTTTGCCAGGGGGCAAGGAAGTTAAAGTCCAAGTACCATTAGTATGTAAAGCTTGAAGCTCCTCAGTCATAGCACGTTGCCAATTGGGGTCAGTGGCAGCCTCGGCAAAGGAGGAAGGCTCCACAGTCCGACTGACAGAGTTAATGTAAGAAAAATGCCTGGGAGAGTAACGGTGATAAGAGAGAAAATTACAAAGTGGATATCGCGTACCTTGTGTAGAACCGGGTTGCGAAGTCGAAGATGGGTGGGATGGCAGAATCACCTGCGAGCAAACGTAGTCTTTTAAATAGGATGGAGGTTTATGGGCACGGGAAGAGGTGCGGGGAAGGGGAGGATTGGTAGGTAATGGGGGGGTAGGGATGTCCGTGGGTAAAGGGGCATGGGGAGGAACGGGTAATGGGGCAGCAAGGGAATCTGTGGGAGACGTGGAAGGGGAGGAAGGTGGAGGAGAGGACGAGCAGAGGAGGGACGGGACGGGCCACGAACAGCCATGGCAGCAGGTTGATCGACAGAGCGGAGGACGCCCAGGGAGCATTGTTTTTCAGCTTGAGACACCGAGGAACAGGCCTGACGAACAGTGGGGAGGAGATTCATTAAAAGAATCTGGTCAAGAACAGCAGCAAAGGATTTGTTGAGGCCCATTAAAAATTGCATGAGTTGTTGACGGTCATGCTTGGCGTTGCAAGAGCACGTGCAGCCATCATTATAAGAAGCAAGCTCATCCCAGAGAGCTTTCAGGCGAGTAAAATAGGCGGAGATAGAAGAAGAACCTTGAGAAATTGTAGCAAGTTCCCGGTTGAGTTGGAAGATGCGTGGAGCATTACTCTGAGAGAAGCGTTCGCGAAGATCATCCCATACAGCTTGGACAGAGGTGGAAAAAAGCACAGATTCTTGAAGGTCAGGTTCCAAGGAATGCAGAAGCCAAGAGAGAATCATGTCATTGCAACGACGCCAAGCCGCGTGAACATCAGGGTCGTCGGAGGAAGAAGGTTCTTGGATATCGCCAGTGATGAAACCAAGTTTATTCTTGGCACTCAAGGAAAGCTGCATGCCACGGGCCCAGGATGTGTAGTTATCACCATTCAACTTCTTGGATACAAGGACAAGATTCGGGTGGTCGGAATGATGAAGGGAAAAAACACCATCGGAAGAAGAAGAGTCAGCCATGGGAACGGCAGAGAAAGCTGCCGAAAAAAAAAAAAAAAAATTAGGGCTAGGGTTATAAACCTGCTCTGTATACCATGTAGAAAAAGGTATGTAGGCTAAAAAATATATTTGTTATTGATACGTGAATGTGGAAAAAATGGAAGAGAATGCAAATGGAAGAGAATGCTTTTTTTTTTTTCTCATTATCTTTCTCTACAAGATTACAAGGATATATATACATGATACAAGTGTGTAGGTAGGACAAGGTAGCCGTCCTAGTGTGTAGGTAGGACAAGGTAGGACGGTTGTAGGATGACTTGACGGCTGTAGGACGGCTAGTGTGTAGGTAGGACAAGGTAGGACGGCTGTAGGACGGCTTGACGGCTGTAGGACGGCTAGTGAATAATATTATATACAATTACACAAGGACTCCAACCATATTCCTTATTTGTCTAACAGAAACTGAGGCTCGACTAGTTACGTTGTCTATTTACCATTTTATGGATAACGAGGAAGAACCTATTTGTTTCATGTCCTGCCAATTCAATGGAGTGATGGTGAGAGACAGGGTGGCAATAAAGTCAAGAATCTTGCTGCAATTTTGGGTTCGCCAAAGTGATCATGGACGAGAGTGGGTATTCATAATTGATATACGTAAACATGAGAAATTGTAACTGATCACGGTCGTCGATAGAGGTAAGCAATGGTTTGTTAAACAAAGTTAGAATTTTTATAAAAACCAGCAATGGGATTATACAATACACAAGCTCAAGAGCAAACCAAACAAAACTGTGGAGAATAACAAGCTAAAAAGATGAATGAGAACACTCCAATTTCAATTTTTTTTTTTTTGCATAAAATGTATCTAGTAGAGGGAGGATGAAATACACAGCTCGTGCGCCTTAAATGTTAAAATTGTTTCTGTGTTCTACCTTGCCGATCGATTTTGTGCTTGTATTTTCAATTTGGTCAATTTGATCATTGTGTTTAATTAATTAGTCAATGCACTCTTTTTCCATCGAATTACTGTTAAAAATTACAAACATGAAGAATAAGATTAAGAAAATAAAATAAGAAACATTAGAGAATTTAAAAAGAAAGAAAAAGAAAATAATAATAATTCAACAACAAAATTAAAAACCTTTTTCAAGAGGAACTCCAAGGGTTTTTTTAATGTTAAATCAGTACTTTCCTTATGTTTCCTAGTTTAATCAGTAATTAACTTCCATGTTTGAATCAGTACTTCCCCCTTTTTCAGGTTTTTAGGTAATTTATTACGTGCATTCTTTCATCACTGAGGATTTTTTATGCAACAGTATATTTATACCAATGCCGAATGGGATGTGAAGAGAAATTAGTTGTGAATTCGTCATTCCCGACATTCAGACTAAAAGGAATACCATTAGACCGAAGTTCTAACTCTTTTTCCACAAGGATTTAGTATATAGCATCCTTTTTCGGGTCGTAATAGTATTACTATTCCTTTATCCTATATGCTTTCCTACTTGAATTAGGGTTAGTTTGAAGGCTATATAAATGCCTTAGTTTATAAATCAGAATTGTATGAAAGAGTACTCTTCTCACGCGTACGGAGATGCAGTATCATCACTTATTCATAAGACAAAGCCAAAACTTTCCCTTAAACCCTTGTGTGTTTTACACTTTATACGTACGTTTGCATTAGTTCCACATGGTACGTATTGCGTGAGTTGGTTTAGAATAGGAATGTAAATATTGTGTAAATATTAGAGTCCTTTATTAGGAAGGTTAATTGTCGAAAAACTCTACATGGCTTTGTTTTTTTATGCGTCTAAACTCCAGCATTACATGCTCTCTTCTGTCACTTAGGTCATCGCCCAAATCGATGTTATTCGGTATATGCTCACTCGACCAATGGTCAAAGGTTGAATTGGGAAATGGACAATGGCACTGTCCGAATTCAGTTTGAAATACGTGCCACAGAAAGCCATCAAAGGGTAAGCATTAACCGATTTCTTAGCTCAACATCCTTCTCCATATGGTTTCGAGGGCAACGACGTTGAAATCGGCATAGTGGAAACGTGTGATAATTATTGGACGATGTATTTTGATGGCTCCAGTACTTCAGCCTCGGCTGGTGTTGGTATCGTCATTCAATCCCCAGATCAACACTGTTGGTATTTTTCTCTCAAGCTTGATTTTGATTGTACAAATAATCATGCCGAATACGAGGCCCTTATCATCGGCCTCAGCGTCCTTCACGACTTTAGGGTAGCCCACATACTCGTCTTTAATGATTCGGAACTTGTGATTAACCAACTTAATGGAACTTTCCATTGCATGAGTTGTACTCTGGCACCCTATCATGTGGTTGCCAGCTATTTGGCCAAGTTGTTAAACGGTATCACATTCAAACACATCTCTCGCATTCGAAACACTGATGTAGACGAACTGGCTTAAATAACCTCCGGAGCATAACTCTTGGGGGGCGAGCTAGGCTGGGCGATACCTGTAGTACAATAATCCCACCCCGCCTTGGTTAATCAACAAGTTCTCCAACACGACTGCGTGATCCAAACACGAGTGATGTCCTTACCTTCGTTGTTAGAACGAGGAGATCCTGTAGACGTGTGTGCTGTCGAGACATTACCAGACGACTGGAGAAGGTCAATCATGCGATATCTTGATAACCCTAGTGACAAACACGACTGCAGGACAATGGTCCATGCCTCAAATTACTGGTTGTACCAGAATGAGTTGTACCGGAAAGGTGAGGATGGTTTATTGTTATTGTGCCTCGGCCTGTAAGAGGTTGCTCAAGCAATTGCAGAAATACACGAAAGAATTTACAAAGCTTATCAATCTGGACGTAAGATGCATTGGTTGCTTCGTCAACATGGCTATTTTTGGCCGAGTATATTGAAAGATTGTATCGAGTACGCACGAGGATGTGTACAGTGTCAAATTCATAGGCCTATACAAAGAGTCCCGGCCGAATTACTTCACTCGATCACCAAACCGTGGCCGTTCAGAGGATGGGCCATTAACGTAATCGGTAAAATTATGCCATCTTCCGAGTCAGCTAAGCATGCATGGATACTTGTTGCAAATGACTACTTCACCAAATGGGTCGAAGCAAAGTCATATGCCGAGTTAACGTCTAAAGAAGTTTGTAATTTTATAGAAGAGAATATCGTAACCAGATTCGGTGCACCAGAAACAATCATAACGGACAACGGTACAATCTTTACATCCGACAGATTCAAAGGGTACACGATGAGTTTTAAAATTCGGTTGGAACAGTCCACGCCGTATTACGCACAAGCAAACGGACAGGCCAAAGTAAGTAATAAGGTTTTAGTCGGTATTCTTGAAAAAATGAAAGAAGAAAAGCCTAGCATGTGGCATTTGAAGTCAAACAAGGCATTATGGGCTTATCGAACTTCACCTCGATCAGCAACCATGGCAACCTCTTACGCGTTAACTTATGGGCACGACACGGTAAAAGATTGTTGAGTGAGCATATAACCAACGTGTCAGATAAAAAATGTTCGGCGAGGGAGAGTTAGTTTAGCAAACCGTGTTGCCCATATGAATCAAAGATCATAGATTCAGGAAACAGTCGCTAAATTAGGAAGAACCGTTCGTTGTCCATAAAGTTCTCAGCAATAGGGCATACCACTTTAAAGATCAAGCCGGTCTAATTCATAAACTACCAATCAATGGGAAATTTTTAAAGAAATATTATCCAGTCACTTGGGAAATGTGAGAATAAAAGTTTTGTTTCATTAATTTTGCAAAAAAGGCATACAAATAAGAATTAGAAAAAGAATCCAACAGCTGGTTAATAACGCCAAAATCCTAAGGGGTCAAAAGAAAGAAAGCTTCAAGAATGGCTTTCAGTTCCAACCACCTTACTTCACCTATTTTGAGTCGGCTGCATGGTCTGTCAAGAGAGATTTATTCGCCTCAAAATCTTTTTCGAGCTTTGAAGCATCAGTCGACCTTTGACCCTGGAGTTCGGCGATTTAACGATCGAGGGCGACCAATCACGTCTTCTTTGCTTTCATGGCCTCAACCTTCGGTTGGCTAGCGCCATGAGTGGCCTTTACAACCTTAAGGTTGTCCTTCGCTCAGAGGGCCTTTTCAAAAGTGGCAAAGTATTGTTGGGTCCGCTCCAGGATATTGGATAAGTGGACGACACTTTCAATGCTCAGCAAGCCACCGATTGCAAGATCGTTCAGGCACTCCCCTACAGAGTCGAGGCCTTTACATTGAAGGACTTGTGAAGCCGAAAAGGATAGGAGTTCCTGCAACTTGACGAAGGCATTGGATTCAACCATGGTCGTGAAAGGCTCAGTCGACGCTGCAAACGCTCGACCACTCCAGAAGTACTCCAGATGAGAGCGTCGAGCTCGACTTCCCATGAAGGCTACACAAAGAAGAAGTTAGTAAATAAGAATCCAAAAGAATAGCAGTTAAGGAAGTCGTGATAGACCTTCCGAGAGGAGACCTCGACTATGTCTGCTTATTAGTTGCTCGAACCTAGAGACCTTAATGGCCGAGCCTAGTGTTTAAAAGAGCCTCTTAATTCGCGTGGCCAATGGAGGCTATCTACATTCGATGGCCACAAAGGTAGCCAAGAAATATAAATAACACCCTTCATCGCGTAAAAGTGTCCGTGAAATGAACGATCAGGCACTAGCATTTTAATGTTTGCTCTTGGTTCAAAATTCAAAGGTTAGGAATTGAAAAGGGGACATAGCGACGGTTCTTACAAAGGTTGAAGTAACATCCTGAGGAGAGATATTGAGATTCTAGTCCGGGGGATAAATCAGCGTCTCGGCTGTTGCCTGTGGCTCAATAAGAAGTGCCGCTTCACGTCCCGAATCTGCTTCAGCTACGGGAGCGTCGGCTTGATCCGCCGCCTCGATTACCGGTTAAGGAGTGATAATTGGTAGTTTGGCGTGTTGAGGATGTTTCACTGGTAGGGGTCTTTCACTTTTACCCTCCTAGACAATGGATAAATCGTTAGACAAGGAGTTCGAGAAAGAAAGAACATTATAAAATTTTATACCTCTTCTTCTAAGATGATTGTTGAAGCCTTTTTTGGATTCAGGGGGAGATTTTTCTTGGCCACAGAAGTTGCCCTCTGTAGGGTAGCAACCGTCGGGCTGACTTCGGCACGAACAATGACCGGTGTTGAAGTTGCAGGCTTTTCGACAGTCGAATTGGTGACTGGTTCAATCACCAAGTCTCGCTGCACCATGACCGAGACCTTGATAACAGAGGAATAGAGAGAGACACTGGGAGTAGTTGCTCCCGTAGTTTGGCTAGAGATAACATGGATCTCCCATTCCCCTTTCTTTGCTAATTTCTTGACACTTCTTTTCGCCCGGAGTGCTTCACTAGTCGTCTCGACATTCGGGCAAGATCGTTTGCTTAACGGAGTTGGCGTGGTAGCTGCAGTTTTCCTCAGGAGAGGGGCAAGTTTTTTTTTAGCCACAGCCATCGCATTCACTTCGGCCTTTTTTATGGTTCGACCACCTAAAAACACTGAGCTTGAATAAAAAAGAAGTTCAAAATAAACAAACAAGAAAAGTAAAAAGGAAAGCTGTATACCTTGGGCCGTTTCTTTGGATTTTGAGGCGAGAGTCTTTTTGGGGCGGTTGCCAGAAAGCTTTTGTGAGATTTCCTCAGCCGAAGTTTTGAAGAAATCCTTAGTATAGGCATCCCACCAATCGGTGAAGATGCTAGCACATCGGGATTCTGGAGCTTTTGACCGAAGACAGAATTTGGTGCACCGCTCCTTGAAATCCTTCTCGTCTACTTCACAGTCCTACTCTGAAGAGTTGGAAAAACGTTCTCGGCTTAAGAGGGAGAGAGAAGTAAGGAATAGCATAGGGCATCCTTGAAGATAGCCTAGTTGACGAGCCATGAAGTTGGGGTGATAGACTTCCCAACTTTCTCATCGAGCCTCACAACCATAGGGCAGGTCTCGAGTGATAATAAAGGACCCTCAGGAATTTCAGAGATCAGCTTCCTCGGCGTCTTCTCATGCCGATGTTGGAAGAATGATGGAAGAGATGTATGTTCGGTGATGGCAAATCTGGAACTCATCATCCGATAGGTCTTTTAGACCGAAGAAATATTTAAAGATCTCTTCAGCTGAGTGGGGAGGAATGGGTTGTGAAGCCAGCTCAATACCCATAGCTTCAAAAGAGTTAAAACTTGAAAGGTCAGGCCGCAGCGTCGAGAAATAGACCTATAACCAGAGCTGAAAAACCTAGAACGGGCTGTTGGTGAGGGTCGATTTTCCCCACTGTAGTCTCGGCCAAACACCTGGCGAGGTTGGCAAGAATGGTCGGACTAAGGGTCAGGACATGATCGTTGGCCAGGGCTTTGACGACAGGCATATTCTCGACCAGGCATTTATTCGACTTGGCACAAAATATATATTTGTTGTACCAATAGAATAAGAAGGCCCCATGTTCACCCTTCTTAAGATCTTCCGCTCTCAGCCGGCAAAGTGAGTGATTAGGGTGTTATAGTTGAAGAAGTTCTTGTGTAGTTTCTGCGCATCTTCCTTCGGTAGCTTTTGGTTTTCCTTTGTCAGGGCTTCGACGACACGGTCGTCGAAAATGGTTTTCAGGTCCAGGTTAAATTGATACTTGAAGAGAGAATTGTCGACTGGGAGGCCAGTATGAGAGGTCCCAAGTATGGTTATGATGTCCATCACTGTTAGGCCAAGAGGGTCGAGGGGAAGGACCATCGTATTAGTGGCCGAGCACCAAAAGTTCAGAGCGGCTATCACAAGCTCTTGATCCAAGCTTATCTCGATGGTCAAGAGTTTAATGGCATCAAAAATGCCAAGAACTTTCCATTCGTCGCTGAAATATGGCTCTAGCTAGGTGACCCAGGCAGCCCAGGCCGCAGTGGTCGAAGACCAAACGCTTTTGGGTTTGGCCAATTCTCATTTCGACCAGTCATACCCTTGGAATAAAGGTTTTAGGCAATGGTCCTTGAGCATTTTGGTGATCAATTCTGGAACATTGTCTTTGAACAGTGGGCCGAGGGTTTGGTGGGAAGCATTTGGCTCATCCTCAAATCGGATGGTTTTGATAGTGTTTCGATCAGTGATGCTTTGGCATTTAGTGCACTCCTCGACCAACTTGGTGATGAAAGTTGCTATGCATTTAGCAACCTAAATATTAAGCTACTAATCGCACGTTTTAAACTCGCAAGTGCACAAGATCAAACACATACTATAGAAAGCAAGTCTGAGATCATTCCCATGAGGATTGCACTAATATGTATCTAGAGCATGATTCCTAACAATTTAAATTAATTAATTCACAAAACAAGCACATAAAGGTTTAACAAATAGTTTGAGATGTCTAAAGTTTAAGTAGTAAAACACAATATAAAGAACGTAGATAATTAAAAGTAATTGGCAATAAGGGTTTTGAAAATGATGTTTGAACAGTTAGGACTTTGATTTCCATATCCAACCTTTTTCGCCTAAGCAACCGATACATATGATGATACAAAACGGATTTTTGATGCTTAACGTTTGTCAACCTAAAGGCATGGTATCTGCTCTTTAAGCTATTGATTTCCCTAAACAACGAATTAGGCATGGGTGTCTACACTAACTCTTTTCATTCTCGAAGTATTTAGTATGGTATCTACCAAGTTGCACTCTGAGAAAGCATAATACAATGGAAATCGACAAACACACGAATCCTAGAACATGGTATATATTCCGGTTATTCGTGATAATTAATTCCAAGAACCATAACTAGTTCTCTTGTTACTCAGCATAGGTACAAGGCTCGATCATCCAAATTTACCCATGTAACTAACCCAATTACAAAGATATTCTATGGTGATCAATCATAAAATAACTCAATAAGATTGGAATTAAAACTAGAATTAATCACTAAAGCATCAACAAATTGTCCTGTAACAAAAGTGTATCGCAAATACTCATGGAAAATGATTAGGACTTCAACCAAGTCCCAACTATGAAATTTAGTTACTCATAATGTAAATGGGCAGCAGAGACAAACAAAACATAAAGTAAAAGGCGAAGAAGAAACTCTTCAATGACGAATTGCAGAATGGTGCTCTAGTCCTTCCTTTTTCTCCCTTCTGCTGTGGGTTGTTCTTTCTCTGTTTTTTTATATCTCACACCCCCCTGCTGGTCTGATTAGGGATCCTCCTTCATTCCCCTTCTAGTTGTAACCGACAAGGCAATTAGCCTTTTGTTTTCATTCTAATTCAATGGGCTTTAAAGTCCTATCTTATTAGTCTGCTTATTTATTTTATTCCAGACTTTTTGGCTTCTTCCAATATTTTAACCCTCCTTTAATTTGCCAGGTTGATAACAATTGTAGAAAATTTGTAATCACGCGTAGCCCGACATTCATGTACTAAAACTTCCATAACTCTCTTAAGAAAAATGATATTCAAGAACCATAAAATTCTATGGAAAATAGACATCCATAGCTTTC